GGCCACTGCACTGCAGTCTGGGCGACAGAGTGAGACTCCAACTCAAAAAAAAAAAAAAAAAGCACATTCCGGCTGATATCTGTCCTGCCTACAGGGTCTGGGCCATCACACACCCATGTGAAGGTGGGCCGGGTGCAAGCAACTGGCGAGAGGGGGCACAGTGGCAAACCAGGAGCACCCATCTTGAGCAAATGGGTGTCGACTGCTCTGTCCCAGCCTGTGGGTGCTGGGTGGGGGGAGGGGAAACCACGGGCCAGGGTGGCTGATCTCTCTGGAGAAGCCAGAACTCCAGAATGAAATGGGAAATATCTGGATCTTCGAATGTTAACGGTTTAAAAGCTCAGGTGCTTGACTTTGACCCATCATCCCAGAAGGAAAGACTGTCACCCCCTGGCTGCACCTCAACAGACATCACTAATCCACCCTAGCACTCGCTCCCTGCAGTTGGTGTCCGTTCCCATGGCTCAAGACTCTCCAACAAAACAAACGAGAAGGTTCTGGCGGCGGGACCAAGCTGGGTCTTGAGAGGGTACTCTCTGGGCTTGACACTTTGTCTTAAAGGGAGGGACTTTCTGGCCTGAATCAGGTCAAGAAGAATCTGCAGGCCCGGTGCCGTGGCTCACGCCTGTAATCCCAGCATTTTGAGAGGCCAAAGTGGGAGGATCGCTTGAGGTCAGGAGTTAGAGGCCAGCCTGGGCAACATAGGGAGACCTCGTCTCTACTAAAAGTAAAAAAAAAAAAAAAAAAAAATGAGCGAGGTGTGGGCTTCAGACGCTGGGTAGAGGGAACCCACATCACTCAGGGCCTCTGAATGCTGGAAAAAGCCTGCAATCCCCTCCTCGGAGGCAGAGGGGGAGGCTGGGTGAGTCACTGGGTGTGTAGCTGCCATGACCAGCCACATACCGCCTTGCCAAATGCCTTCTCTGGAGGCCGGTCCCTCCCTGAGCTTGGCCATTGCTCTGGGAATTTCTGGAGACTCCTCCAGCCGGTCCAATCTCTGCCTCCCATGACGGACACTCCACAGGGTCACTCAGGTATCAAGACCATGGGGGGGGATCTAAAGGCAGTGGTCCCTGCTCTGTCCTTGACCTACAGGCTAACCCCAGACAAGCTTCGACCCCTGATGTAAGCCTCAGTTTTCTAAAATTGGAAATTCGAGGAATCCTTCCAACTCAAGAGTGACTGGCCTGAGATGCAGAGGGAAACTCGAGACTTCTCAAGGGGCTCAGAGAAATTGGGGACGGTAAGGGGAGGGTGGAAGGAGGTGGGTCAGCCCGGAGGGGTCGTCAGAGGCTTAGGGCAGGTGTCTGGAGAAGAAGGTAAGCCTGTGACTCACAGACCCTGGCCTGGGGCAGCCCTCGCAGGGAGTCTGTGGTCCGTGGAGCCCAGACCTCAGGCCCTCCGTGGTACACAGCTGACCACGCCACCTCTGCAGGGAAGAGTGAGACGACACCTTGCAAGGGTGGGAAGATGACCCCAGGGTCAGCACGGAGTCTCGGGTGTCTGGTCCCCACCTGGGCGTGCCTCGCCGATGAGGACACCCGGGCTCCGAGGGACCAAGTAGCTGGTGTCAGGCCAGGTAGCCTAGAGTGGCCCAGGCAGGTCTAGACCTCGAGGGTGGGGGCTGAGAAGGGGGGCATCGAGCTGGAGGTGCCAGGCTGGGCCCCTCCATGACACCTATCTGGGCAGACCTCAGCCCT